TGTTGGGTATTCGACTACTTCATAAAAATATCGTAATTGTCAAATATTTAATCAACTATTGTGGTTTTGAATCAGAAAAAAAACAAAAAATACTATTCTGTTAAGAAAAACTTGTCTGAAATTTTACATTTTTAGACAAAAAACAGAGAAGATTATGTAACACTGCGCTCCTAATATGAACTCTTTAGAAAATTGTAGCACATATTAACCCAATTTTGCGGTTTTCTACCTGAAAAGTTCCCTATTATGGACAAAAAAAAACAGACAAAAAATATAATAGAGTTGACAAAACAAAAAAAATCGTCTTTTTTTCCAAATTTGAGTTAGAACATTCCTTGTTCTTTGCACAAAAACCGATGACTCATGTTTGCGCCCATGCATCTACTGATGCTCGTAATGTTAGAGATCAAAGCAACTGCTTTGCTTTTTTTAAATATACCTTTAGAAGTTTTTTCAAAGATTTGCCTCACATAAAACAATTTTCAAAAATCTTAGAACAAATTATAAAACTTGTATAAACTAGGCGATAAAAATTGTTGCTTATCGCTATCTTAGTTGCACTCTAGCGTGTTTTTGCGGAGCGTTCCAACTTTTTTATACCGGGTAAACGAAAATAATTGTCTCAAAACGAAACATTATTGCAGTTTTTGTGTTATTCTTGAACAATTTTAGTATTTATTGTTCCGACTTTCGATACGAAAGTAACGGGTTTTTTTTTTTCTTCAGACAAAATTCGACTTTTTAACTAGCCATTTTTGACGGAATTTTCTTATATCATTCGAAAGGTATTGTTGTCATGAGCTCAAATTTGAAAAGATATTTCACCTGTGATCATTTTTCGTAGAGTTATGAGGGTTTAAAGATTGCCATTTTGGCCATTTTGACCAATTTGGGACAATTAACGCGCGATATAATTCGCGCTATCAACGCGTAAGCGGAGATTTAATCCGTCTTATAAATCGTTCCAAATTGGTTGAACGAAACTTATTTGCCATATTTGATTTGTTACAATGAACGAAAATTCTCTTTTTGTACTTTATATTGCGTGTGGGGGGATGATTTTCACAAAAAATTTCAAATTTTAGAAAAAATTTTCATTTAATTTTTTTATGCTTTTACTGCTGCTCCATAAACCTTAAAAGGCAGTCGGAACATTCAGGGCTTCGCCCTGATACGAGCAGTCTTGTTTTGTTAGCATCGAAAATCGTCAATTCAAACAGTACTTAATTTCTGAAGTCTTAACTTCAAATTTGGATTAGAATATGTATCTCTATTATATCTGGCTAAAAACCTTAGAAAATTAAGCTCGAATTAAATTGAAATGAAATTTCATTATAGCTAAGCATTTTGTCCATAAATTAGTTTGCTTCAGTTTGTTTTCATCGAACTGTTTTTCTTTAACAGTAATTGAGATTGAACTGCCAACAAATTTGGCAGTTTTTAAAATTGAGTTAATGAAATGCCTAGCTGGTGGCTTAGTTTGATTCTAGAAACATTAAAACAGAATTATGGTATGCTTAGAGAACGAAACCTGAAAGAAAGAATTAATAAAACTTAGAAAAAAATCTTTTCAAAAACCTTTTTATCTAGGTAAAAGATTTTGAAAGCACCAGCCCTCACACGAGAGTACAATATGTTTTTAAATAGCCTGATGAATAGCCTGCCATAAAATGCATCCTGTCATTATAATTTATGCATTTTGAACAAAATTTTCTGAAAATAGATAACTTGGTCTACCTGGTGAAAACCTGAAATGTTGAGGAAAAACTGAAAAAATAGAGTTCTTCTGCTTCTGGGAAAATTGTTGTACAAGCAAAAATGACAAAACAATGTACAGTTTTCCCTCATCGGTATAAATTTTTACGGATTTGAGGAAAAGTGATCAAAGTAGAAAGGGCATCTCTGTAGTCATTTTCCCAAAGTTATCTCTCATTCGTATTTGGTAACTGAATTTGCTGAACAATAGAAAACTTTTTATAAGTATGCAATAGCTTTTACGCCAGTTAAACTTTTTCAAAACTCTGGTTTTTGATGTCAAAAAATTTTTTTTTTAACTTTTTCATTAAAACAACCTTCTCTGATTCTGTGTTTTTTGATAACGATAAAGTTAGTGTTCCATTACTTAAACAATTTGAAAGCAAAGAACTCATGTTTTAAAACGTTTCCGGTTGTTGAAAACTTTTTCTGGATTTTTGTTAAGAATTCAAAAGAGGGTGATGGATTTTTTTTTCGATCAGCCGCAATATTTAGTTGTACTGAGCTCAAATAAAAAAACCTGTGATCTTTTATCATAAGGATAAAGGGGTTGAAAAGTTGCTTATTCGGGGGTAATTAACGATAACTTTAAAAAAAATTATCAAGATTTCTACAACGAACTCTACTTTATAAACCTTAAAAGTCAATCGGAACATTCAGGGGCTCATCATGACGGGAGCAGTATTATTGATGCTATGGATACAGAGGTATTTGCATGATTGTGGGTGAAACAAACTGGAACGTTTTGTGTATGCAGCGCGCTAAGTGAGTGCAGAATAAACCAATGAGATGTTTAATTATTTTTCAAAATTTGATTCTGTTTGCTTGATTTTTGTTTGCAAAGTGTTAGTCATTGTTTTTTTCTCAGATAAATTTAGCGGATGTTTTTGTGGTTATATAGTTGTTTCCAAAATCAAGTCGACTATTTTATCCTTTATTATCGATGCAACCATTTATAACGAGAAAAAATTTAAACAAACTCACAAAATTTTGTTCTTTTTGAAAAGGAGAGAGGGTCAAATATTGTAGGAGACATTTTGAACTGCTGAAAATAAAAAAAGACATTCCGACTGCATTTTAAGTTCTATGGAGCGATTTCAATTAAAATAAATACTGAAACTTTTCATTTTTTTAAAAAAAAAATACGTGTTTTTAGCACGAATTAAATCGCGCGTTAATTGTCCCAAACTGGCCAAACTGGCAAACTGTTTACACCCATAACTTTACAGAAAAAGCTCACAGATGAAATATCTTTCAAAATTTGAGCTCAGGACAACATTATATTCGATTGATAGAACAAACTCAGAAACTATTAGCTACAAATTCGAAATTTGTCTGGAGAAAAAAATACCCGCCCGAGCTCAAATATTCCGGCATGTTTTTTTATTGTCGAAAAAAAAACGGTCGTATATTAATAACTTTTGTCAATCACTTTAGCCGTTCTTCAAATTAGTGTTAAATTGAAGAAAGACAAACTCTGAAGACATTATAGTTTCTAGAAAAGGAAGAAAGCACAAACTTCAAACTGGTGTTTAGCGCTACTGCGGCTTTGAAAAAATGAACCTTTTGAAATGGTGTTTTCAATGACTTCTTTTACCTTTCTTGATAGCTCATTTAGTCGCCATATTAATTTTGTCAAAAAACATTCATTCATCCGTTTGTCTGAAGATAGCAACTTTCGAGACAAAAGCAATGGTAGTTCGCATTTGGTTCATAGTGTCCGGAACACTTTGTCATAGTACCTAAAATCTAACTTAAATCATAAAATTCACTCAAGCACTGATAGTTTTTCAAGCATGGCTAGTGTTAGTTTTTAGTTGAGCAAGGCCTATCCTCTACCCCGTAGCCAAGAGAAACGATTCATTAAAGCTCCACGGCCACTTGTTAGTTACAATCATTATAATTTAAATGGTGTTCTACAAATTAGAGGGGATTGGAATCATGGAAATGTTGGTCTAATGGGAAACATCCTAAACATAGTAGTAGAATAGCAAAAACAACTCCATCTTTTGAATTCAGTATTCAAATGAGTCGCTTCTGCCAGATAAAAAACAATCGGTATACAATAGGCACAAGAAACTAATTAAGACTCTAGGTGATTATTGGAGGTAGATGAGACCGACTTTGAAATTTGAACACCTGATATATCTGCCATGAAAACCATACCCACCACATGCGACTAACTGCATGGTAATTAAACGCGTCGATTTTCCTATTTTGCAGTTATGTTGTTAAATACTTTTCAATTTTTGTAAAATTTTAGAATTCGTCAATTTTAGTTTACTGAACTATTTTGCATCACATATTTGTCTCTGATCTAAAAATTTCATGAATAATTTTTGAAAATTGAACTGGGAGATTTTTGCAGAAAATTTTGAGAAGCCAACCATAATTCAATCCACGCTGATATTTTCTTTTAATTAGATTTTATTTTGACAATGAGATGCTTGAAAAAGTGCTGCGGCAAGAAAAAAAGCCGCAAACCATCATTTTGAAATCATCTATTGTTTTTTTTTCAGATTGAATATCAGATTAAATTTCAGATAAAAATATTAAAACGATATTTAAATCGCTATAAAAAAACCGTTTTGGAGTACTCGATGAAATCAGACAGCGTGTCCACCGTCCACGTGATAATGAATACCAATGGTTAGTGCTCTTTTTGTGATGGTATATTTGTTGCTATATTCATGTGTGTCGTCAATTAATAACATCTAACTTCTGATCGCTTCTTCGATGCATGGAATTGAATTTATGGGTACCCCTGTATTTCATTCGATAGTAATTATATTTCAATAGTGTTAATGAAATAAAACATTTTATAATGTTGAAATATTCGACTTCAGTTACATTGGCAGGTTAAATGTAATGCTTTTAACATTGAAGTTTGCTGCTTTCAGTGTCATTTTTTCATACTTTTTTGTGTACATTTTAATTGAACTTTGTCAGTAAAATGGGATGGTAAATGGGATATATACTCTCATTAAGATTGAACAAACTCAATTAGAGGTGAGCCATTTGGAAAAATCGTTCGCATCCTTTAAGGAGAACACAATCCGTGAAATTGGCGGGGGTCTCCAAACCTTAACAAAGTGTGCATTTAATTAAAGGTTTCTTTTGTTGAGCTTACTAGGCTCCCGCAAGGCTATTTTCCGCCGCAGTTGAGCCTGAAATTTCATTTTCTCTAGTTTTATCCATCTTTTTCTTCTGAATTAGCTCGGATTAAATCATACTTTTATTTGCAGGCGGACGAATAAGCTTGATGACGAAGATGATACAATCAATTCAACTCCTCTCCTTTACTCCTCTCACCAAATTAGACATCTTCTAGTTATGACTGATTATGATGAGCTACATACCGAGAACCTTTACCTTACAAACAAAAGACCCTAGAGCTTCTTTGACCGCGTGTGAAATCTTTATTACCAGTTTTTTTTAGTCCTTGCCAAGCTACTTTACCCATTAACTCTTTTCGTTCTCTGACGATGTAATTTTTCATTCATTGCATCCAATAAAAGAAGGGTAAATATACAGTTTGCCCTCATTGGCCCCTTGGTAACTTTCGAGCCTATTTTCTATACCAGTCAAGCGCTCACCACTCAATTTGAACACCCGTAAAATTCAAATTTGGGACTATAAATCCAAAAAATACACAATCTATAAAAATACAGGCGTCTTATATAAACTCTGGTTCTTTAAAAAATAAAAAATGGTTTGAACAATTTGTTAGCATTGTTTTTTATTATTCACAATTGCTGCTAAAAAGAAGAAACATCAAAACAAGGCATTGAAAATTAGAAAAAAAAGTTGTTTAGAAATTTAATAGCCATTTAGAAAACTAGTTATTCAATTACTGCTTGCGTTTCGTTCTTTTACTTCCCAGTTTTCAAATTTGCTATTCAATTTAGATCATATTGCTAATTGTATTTTACCCCTCAACGCTATTTATTGGGAGGACTTTTTTCCTGTTGGTTCGAGCAATTTTCTCATAACTTCCGATTTGTCAAACAATTTCGTTTTCCTTTTTATTTCATTGCTGATTTTTCTTGATTATTTATACACTTTGAAGTCATCAAAGCTTATTTAGTTCGCCTGCTTGTTTTCTATAACTTTCCCTTTTTGTTGACCATACAAATGGATGGCAATGATTTTGTCACCCAGAGCAGCAGCGGCGGCGGCATACCCAACGGCACCCTGTCCGCTCTGCTCCCCTCCCCGAATGACAGCTCTTCTGCCGTTCAGGGGGGTTCGGCTCCTGAAGTGGACGGGGTAGTGTCTGTGTTTGAAGTGATAGAGAGTGTTGTGAATGTGTCTGTGGGTATTGTGGGTCTGATTGGAGCAGTGGTGGTGGTATTGGTCTACACTTGGAGACACAATCCCACCCCCAGTGAACTCATCATCACGGCTTTGAGGTGAGCCCGCGATAGTGGTTTTTATCGCATCTGCATCTTTTCGACTATCGCTACTTTTTTCACCCACACCCCCCCCCCCTCTCTCTCTCTCTCCTCGCCCCCTACCTCCGCCTGCGCTTCTCCTATAATTAACGGTCCCCCTTCTGGCCAATCGACTCTGATATTGTCTAAGGGCACTATGCAGATAAATGATGAAGGGAGCGTGCGCGCCAAAAAATGCCATTCATGATCAAAACTTTCCAAAAATTCTTGTTTTCGCATGTTTTTTTTTCAAAAATTTGACTGTCAGTGCCAGAAATTACTATTTTGGCTGTTTACTTCAAAAATTTGCCAGCAGCACAAGATAAGGTTTTTATAGCGTGCTGGGAGCCCTCAAAAAAACCAATTTGCTTGAACTAAATGAACTGAGAACAATTTCAAAAAATCCGTCCTCTCAAAAAAGATGCGCCCCTGAAACTTAAAGGGTTATTAGCTTGAATTAAATCTGCAACATTTTGAACCGTTAAATTAGTTTTTTATAGATTTGCCTCTCATATGTGTGAAATATATCTCAAAAACTGCTCTAGAAACAGCTCAAACTCGTCAGGCAAAGATTTGGCGATTTTAGAGGTTCGAGTTCTGAAACACATGTAGAGCCGCTCACGAGCGCTGATTGGTGCCCTACCATCGCTCCATTTTTTCCCTTTGAGTTTTGCTATAGAAAAAAAAACTTTGGCCAGTGAAGGCCCACCACCACATACTACTAGATATTTATTTCTGAATTGACCGTTCCAAGGGACAGTTGATTTCAAACTATCTGCTTCATTGAAACTTATTTGCTCCACGCTCAAAGTTATGTTCTTAAAAACTATACAAAACTGCTCGTATCAAGGCGACCGTATTTAACGTCTATGGAGTAGTGTTCGATTTCAAAAAACGGACGCCATTTTCAAAAAATATAATGATTTTTTTTGAAAATCATCCCCTCAAACGTTATTTAAATGGAAAAGTTTTGTTTTTAGCATAAAGTGAGCATTATATAAAATAACTGAAATGCATCAGTTTGAAAAAATTTCTGAGCCGGGTTAAATTGCCGCTTACGACGCGTCAAAAGCACGAAATAAATTTTGCGTCAATTATCCCCAATTGACCGATTCGCAATTTTCATACCTTCATATTTTTGCAAAAAAATGATCACAGAAAGATTTGTTTCCAATTTCAGCTCGAGACCTCAATAGTTTTCATACGATAATTATAAATCCCGTCAAAAAGGCGAGGAGAAGATTTGAAACTGGTCTGGATAAAACAAACAACTCCAAGCGCAAACATCCCGTCACTATCGTCGAACGTCCAAGTATTTTTTGAAAGTCGGAACAAACAAGAGCGATTGTACTTTTTTCTTTGAGAAATTTTAGCCATTCGATGCATCAAAAGAATTAAGAAGTACGGAAGCGTCTTTGTACAGGCTGCCCACTATTTTACACATGTTAGGGTGGTGGGCTTCACCGAATTAGCATTTGTTGTACTAGCAATCCTAATTACGGCCGCATCTGACTGGTTCCAAAGGGAGGATGGGAGTAAGATTTCACAGTTTGGTATCAAGCTATTCATATAGGTAGAGCCAGAGTATAGACAAAACTCGTCTTTTTTTTCTTTTTTTCAGGGCTGTAAAACTCTTGTGGAAAACATTGTGAAAATTTTGAACGATTTTATCATAGGAATCGCCTTTTTTTTCTTTTTTTTCAAATGCAACGGAAGGCAGCTTTTTTAAGGCAAACACCTATTCTTGATTTGTTTCCTATTTCACTTTGAGACCCAGTTCATTGATTTTTCTCATGTAACTGTGAGAGATGGAAACAACCCGATAACTGCTCTCCGGGGATTTTTTATTGGAAGGACTGAAGAGCAGCTGGCTCAAAATCTAAGAAAAAGTTTTAGAGGCCGGCAGTTTGATGCTAAACCAATAAAACTATGAAAAAATCTAGTGTAGATTTTTTCGGTTTTGATAAGAAAGAAGGCGTATATGCAAGCTGGTGCAAAACCAGATATACTAACTTGAAAGCTATAAAGAACAGTTTGGGAATAATTTTAAATGTTCCATCGGCTCTATCGGCTAACCAGAAATATAATTTTTCTTACAATCTCAAGATATTGGGGTCACCGCACTTTCTGATTTTCTGTTGATCATTCAATCCACTGTCATACCGGATTTTCGAAAATATCCAGAAATCCTGAAATTTTGCGCACTCAGCAAGGGTTGCATTTTAACATCTAGCTGCTCATATGATGTGCGCGCAGCCATTCGAACTAGTTTGTCTTTATATGGGACAGCAAACCGAGAGGTCGAAACAATGGTTAGTGGTCAAAAATTACTGGCAATAGCGAGAATCGGTGTACATCTCTCGCTGAGCTCTCTCAAACTCTTTTTCAATTTTCGTGCATTAGATGTGTCATAATTGATATCTCGGCGCGTGTCGATTATTAGTGATCTGTAATGTCAGATGCTCGACGTTTAAGCGTTTGGTATGTTGAACATTTCCAGTTTTTGGTGTGTTTAAATTTTTGCTTGAAAAGTTCGTGGCGCAACGCTATAAGAATTCGCTGGCTTTGTTCTTAGAGGAAATTGTGACGTCGAAAATAAACTCAATGCTTTTTGTTTTTTGGTGGTTGCAAGTTTTTATACCTTGAAAAAAGAATTAACGGACTCTGAAATATTTATATTTGACAGGAAAGATACGCCAAAAAGTTTTTAATTAGCACAACAGGTTTTTTTTCTTCTAGTGTTAACGTTTAAGGAAACATTTAATGGAAAATAAACAAGACTGCTTGTATCAGGAATCGTCCCCCACATGCCATATAAAATTCAAAGTGATAATCTTTGCTCCTAGTAACAAATCATTTCCGGCAAATAAGCTCCCTTTAAACAATTTGAAACGATTTCTAAGTCGGATTAAATCTCCGCTTACGCGTTAATAGCACGAAAAATATCGCGCGTTAATTATCCCAAGTGGGCCAAATGAACCATCCTTTAACCCCATTAACTTTACGAAAAATGATCACGATACGAAAGTAACGGAATATTTGTGCTCGGGGTGGGTTTTTTTTTCTTCAGACAAATTTCGACTTTTTAACTAGCCATTTTTGATAGAATTTTTTTTATCAATCAAAAGCTATTGTTGTCCTGAGGTTAAATTTGAAAACATATTTCAGCTGTGATCATTTTTCGTAAAGTTATGAGGGTTTAAAGATTGCCATTTTAGCCATTTTGACTAATTTGGGACAATTAAAGCGCGATATAATTCGCGCCATTCACGCGTAAGCGGAGATTTAATCCGTCTTAGAAATGGTTCCAAATTGGTTGAAAGAAGACTATTTGCCATAATTGATTTGTTACAAGGAGCAAAATCTGTTGTTTTGTACTATGTATGGGGTGTGGGGGATGATTTTCATCGAAAAATTTTCAATTTTTAGAAAAAAAAATTTTTCATTTATTTTATTTCATTTAATTTTTTATGTTGTTTATGTTATTACTGCCCCATAAACGGTAAAAGGCAGTCAGAACTTTCAGGGCTTCGCCCTGATACGAGCAGTCTTGTTGAGTTTAAGCTCAGGACAACAATATCTTTTGTATTAAAAAACAACGTCAAAAACGGCTAGTGAAAAAAAACTAATATTGTCTGAAGAAAACAAAACCAACCCGAGCACAATTATTTTGTTACTTTCATTACAAAAGCCAGAACAATTAGGAACTTTACGATAACAGTCTTAGGTAATAAGTGAAGCCTCTTTTAAGCATCCATAGCTAAAATAAATTGAAAGTTTTTCAATGTGATGCGTGCGTGCATTGCAAGACTATATTTGTTGTGAAACGAATTATGACAAGGAGTTCTTACAGCATCAATTTTTTTGTTAAATTATGAAATAGAAATTCAGTTAATGTGGATTTAAGATGTTTAGTAGAAATGATGACTAGGTACTAAAAATTACGGTGTTAAATTGGCTCGTAATACATTGTAGGACACCATTTCAAAAATTGGTCTGTTTTTTAAATTTTTGTTCGAATATTTACATTTGTCCGAAATTGTCATTATTTTCAATATATTGGAAATTTTTATCACAAATTCCGTATTTTTGATGCGCTCTCCTCTCTAAATTTTAGTCAATTGTGGCGCCTTTTAAAACTATTTGGAGTGGTCAACCAAAAGTAGATGTCATAAGTAAATATAAAATTTCAAAGAAAGGACCCTTTGGGTGGGGAGGGTATGGAATCCCTACGGAATAGGCGTGAACCTCCCGCTCTCCGCCCCCCCCCCCCCGCTGAATCTGCTCATGCTATAAATACCAACAATTTTTGCCAGAAAACTCCTTTTACTAAACTACAAAGGTAATTGGCTTAATTGAGACGCTTTGTCAAAGAAAGACAAATTCCCTCGCGGTGCTAAAAGAAAAGAGAAGAAAGACTTTTAATCACACCAAAATTTCACCAGAAAACTTAAATAAAGGCTTCTTACTAATTTACTAAGAGAGTAGACTTAAGAAGGACGCTTATTTGGAGTGAAAGACAATTATCTCGTGGGGGTAAAAGAAATTTCTCTTTTTTGCTTAAGCAGAAAATCTAGTGGTAAATATTGGTTCACGCTCACTTTAAATCTTCTGAAATACTGCATCTTCTAAACTAAACACAACCGGTGGAAGCGGTGCGATTGTTTTTTGTTCAGACTTTCTAAAACAGTGACTACAAGATTTATGTTTTGTGCAGTTTTTCTGATCAGTCAGTTTTTGACTTTTCAACTAATTTTTGTTTTCGACTTTTTTAACACCATCCGAAAAAATATTGCTTTGATGAAGTTTGAAAAATAAATTTCACCTGTGATTATTAGTTTTGGAGATTTGAAATTTATTAAATTGGCCAATTTGGGATAATTAGCGCGCGATATTTTGTCTGTGAAACATGAGTTAGCGGTGGCTTAAAACGCTCCAAATTGAAGGAGGTAAATCTTTTGGTCTTTTTGTTCCTATGT